CAACAGGGTGAGACGAAACCTCACCTGTTCAAGCACTGTGGATAAGAGCTGTAACTCTAAGTGGTAAAGCTTCTGTTTTCCCTACAGCCAGTTGTTTAATAGAATCTTAGAAAAGAGGTGTTGATTCCTCAACAGGCATAAGGCCTACCGAGATCAGTATAGCTTGTAAGATACAAGTTAGGATTGAACCTTACATTCGCGTTAGCACCAACTGAAGACGGAGACACGCTTCTCAAATAATGCTACCGTGAGTGGGAGACACTGAATCCTCATGTGGATGGTGAGCAATTTTACAAGGGTGAGACACGTGTGGACAGTACTTAACTTCATGTTAACACTGTGATAGCAACAAGTGTTTCACAACACATTTAACTGCAGAGACTTACAGCTCTGGGCTTTCTCAGACAACAGTCAATCTGTCTGCTTGACCATTAACCAGGACTGTGTTTCTATGTGACTTGGTACTAATTTATGAGGAGTGGCTGTGGGAAGATGTATAGAATTGTCTCTTATTTGCAGAGAAAGGCACTTGTTACTTTTTGCTCAGTACTTTGATGAGAACTGTTTCATGAAACTGTGGATAGGGGAGATACCTGCTGGTCTGTGACTCCCTTGTGAACATAAAACACAATGATTCAGCTACCTGTGATAATTAATAAACAAAGACACTTAAATAATGCCTTTAAGATATTGCATGTACAGACTTGACTATAATGCAAGAATTTACTAATCTGGGTCTTCAACAAACACTCATTTTCCAAAAGTTTGACACACAGGACATCTTCTGTCATATAAATAGTGTCATAAATGACACTTATTTCAGGAAACAAAAATGTATTTAATTCATGACATGTCTAGAGCCATGAGACTTTGGAGCCAGAAGGGACCTTGGGGGTCTCTGCTGTAAGCCTGGGAGATAAGGGGTTTGTGGGAGATCCAACCCCTGCAGGTAGCCTCCAAACTCCGGTCAGGAGTTCCTGGCCCTTCTTTGCATCCTTCCCTTAGGAATGCAGCACCTACATATCTAGAGGCAGACAGTTCTAGGAGGCACTTTAGCCAGCCCTTTCTCCCATAACCATTGGCATGGTCACACTGTCTAGTAGTGGAGGAGAAGCAAATACTCATTTCTGGGCTTGAAGGATCCCAAGGTATGGAAGGTTGACCACTGAGGTTCAATAGAACCAAGATGGCTTCAGTTAAAAACATGACCCTCCAGGAGTCCAGGTTCCTGGACTAGCCCCAAGCTTTACAAGCTGGTTCTTCAGGTAGTTAAAACTCAGATGGCAGTGGTCATCCTTAACTCATCATCAGGCCCTGAACACCCAGCCAAAGTGAGTCAACTATAGGTACCAGTTCTTTCTGCAGCCAAGGACTGACTCCCATCCAGAAAAAGCCTATTTCTAAAATGGTTCTTCTGCTGCTGGACAAGACTGTGAAGCCCCAATTTCTACATGGGTTGTCATACTAAGGGCACTGACCTGCCGCTGATGTCCCTGTGTTGATGGGAATGTGCACATTATTCTGCTATGGACCCCAGATTGCAGAATCCGCGGTAGAGGCAGGAGGGACGTGAAGTCTGGATGAGGCTCTGTCTGTATGAGGGATCCTCCAGGTCAGGCAGAGGCTGCTAGCAGTCAGCTAGGCTTTTAGATTTCCCCACTGCTCAGTCACAAACACTGCAGTGAGTGTTTGTGATCTGGGGGCTCCATGTGATCTCTGGTTTGGTTACTGTCTCAGTCTGTTTTCCCCAGAAGCAGACCCCAAGGCATGGCTACGAGTGCTTGGAGTTTATTTGAGAACTGGTCCTAGGAACCAGTGGAGGAGTGGAGAAGAGAGGCAGGGAAGGGGAGACAGCCTGCTCGAGCTGGTCCTCACTGCAGGTGCCCAGAGCAAGGTCTACTGGGGAAGTCGGGGCATCAGTGGGCAGCATACATCCCAGGGTCATTGCCCCAGCAGAGGCAAAGGAGCTGGAGGATTTATACTCTTCCTATCAGTCACTGGATAGGGCTCTTCTCGGGGAGGGGAGCACTGCCTAGACTGTGCCTCTAGACCAGTGTGTAGAGTTTAGACACTCCCAGCCTGCCTTCTGCACAGGAAGGGGTGCGCCTGCTTGTCAGGGACCCCCGGGCAGGTGGACCTTGGGCCAATGTGCAGCAGCACGGTAAAGAGATAAGAAGCACTAACAGCTTCTGGAACAGTCTCTTTAGCGCAGATCCACTCCCCAACCAAGATGTGTGTGTGTCTGCATGTGTGCACTGGACAGATAGTTGCGGTCCTATTACAAGGGAAGTTTACTCTGATCCTGAAGGTGGGAACCTGGGAGGTTCTGGTGCAGTATTTTCCCCATCCCATTCTTCAGAGCATGACAAAGCACCGCATGTGGTTAGGACTCTGGCTTGACACTGCACGCACGGATGGGAAATAGGCACTAACCTCTTCCTTCAGGGCTGGCACAGGGGTGTTGCTTCGCAACAGTGATGTTTCTTTTCCTTGAGGTTGTTAAGGGGGCTCTGAGGTTTTTATTATTTGCTGGGCTCTGGCTTTGTGTTACCCCTGTGCCGTAAAATACAGTTGTCTCAACTCTATAAGGGGGCATGGTTATACCCATTGTACAGATGAGGCCAACGTGCATTTGTCCAATCAACCATGAAGACCCAGACAGGGTCCTAGGGATAGATATAAAAACAAGGTGCATATGGGCTTGTTGACATGCTGGGAGCAAGTTTAAGGGCCACAGGGCAGCTCCAGCCGCTGAGTGGAGAAAGAACTGGAGGGGCCACAGAGGGCAGCTAGGAGGCAGGTGTAGTGAGCAGACAAGAAAAGGCCTGGACTTAGAACCAAAGTCAGAGTTTGCAAACTGCATGGCTGTGTTTCACATTCTGTCTAACCCTGAAGCCTATCTCTATGCCCTTCTGATTTTAAACAGCCTTCCATAGATGGACCTCTATTTCTGTTTTCCTTTAATCAGAGGAACCCATTCTTGATGGAGAAAGATATATTAATTTTCTCTTTTGGTTTGCTATCTGCGTTTTTATATACACTGATTCATGGTTGATGGTGGGAAAGACTTTAACTTTGGGAAACTGGCACATTTGGGAGTTTGGATAAAAGTGATGCCCCTAATTTCCTACTCAGTGAGGGCACAGGGCAGGGTGGAGGCAGGAAGGGTCAAAGTGCCCAGGACTTTCCTCCATTTCCTGCTCACATTCTGCCCAGGAGAGCCCAGTACAGACGGGTGGCTGTGCCCTCCAGAAGGTGAGGCTCGCAGGTGAGTGGAGGTTGAATGTGCTGGACTCATCCCAGGCTGGCACCCCACTGGCATAGCATGAGTTGGGACCACAAGGCAGCAGAGTCAGTAGGATGTGGGGCCATCGTAAGAAATAACAGACTATGCTTCAGTTGCCATCTGGCTCTCAGCCCTAGCAGACAAAATGTGACTGTAATGGGGCGTCGGATCAAGCTGCAGGGAGGATCAAAGCTCATGACCATAGAGGAGGCAAGGGGTTGGAGCCTGCATCCCAGGGAAGGGCTGCCTGTGAAGGCCAGAATCTGCTCTTCACCAACAGACATGCCCGGGGAAAGAGGGATACTCCATCCCCAGGCTCAGGACGTGGTTGGTTTATGAGGGAGGATTCAGTGGTTATGGAGGATGGGCTGGGAATGAGTGAAAGGCAGAGTGTGAGGTGTTGGAAGGTTCGGGGGCTCAGTCATGATAGCGCAGATTGCTCTATGGTGGTCCCTCCTGGGCTGGCCAGCCCCTTGCTTAGCACCCCAGCTTGGCTGCTGAGCAGATAAAGGGGGCTCATGGACTATATATATGGGTTACCCACAGTCATTAGCTTAGAGAGCCTGCTCTCAGAATAGGGAAAAAAAATGGATCCTAAGTACAAAGAATTCAAGATATTGCCAGACAAGATCTAATCTGAGTTTCAGAAGCAGCAGCCTATAGAGGAAGGAGCCTGTGACTTGAGGCCAAGAGGTTTGTGATGCAGCCTCTGAAACTTACTAGCTGTGGGCCTCGAGTGGGGACCTCCACGACTAGTCTCAGTCACTTCCTCTGCACGGGGCTGTGTCTGCCTCAAAGGTTTTACACGAAGTGAACTAACACACGCAGAGCACCAGACACAGGGGAGACGCTGGACAAATGCTGGCTTCTCCCCTTCCACCGCAGGCAGCAGGGGTCACGTCTAGGGTGGATGTACTTAGGTAGGAGATGTAGGGGGAACCCAGGCATGTCAGGGAGGATGGTGGGAGAGAGGCTGGGGTCCCCTTCTGCCAGAGGTAGGGTCTATTTTCTGTGGTTTTCACACCACTTCCCTTGGAAATCAGTGGCCTACTTGGACTTGGAAGGAGGAGAGGACGGTGGGACTGAAGATCAAGTGATTGGGGTTTGGGGGACCCCTCGGAGCAGCAGCGTTTGTATCTGATTAGAACCCTGGGATTCCATATAAGGTCTGTCTGGGAAAGGTTCTAACTAAGTCAAGCCCAGATCTGAAAACTGCAGAGATAATGACCTAGAAGGCAACTTTCAGTGCAAAGGCTTTATACCACGAGACGAAGTTTTATCACTGGCTAATTGCAAAGGCTTTATACTATGAGACGAAGTTTTATCACTGGCTAAAAGAGGGCTGGCTAGATGCCCTCAATCCACAGGAAACATTTCTCGGGGGGAGGGTGGTGTGAAGTAACACAGCTCTTACCAGTAAGAGAGGCTGTGGGTACTACATCACAGACTCGAAAGGCGAGGGCTGTCTTGATGAAAGATGGGATATGAGAGGTCTTGGGAGATATCCAAGGACACGCAGGGCTGTTTTCCTGATTGAATAACTCTGCATTAATCAAGTCAAGTTTTCCTGGGCTCTCCCAAGTGCACAGGGACGGGCATTTTAGAGAGTGCTGTTTGGGGTCTCAGCACATCTCAGCACAAATACAGAGCCCCGCCCCAGCAGCAAGAGAACGGGCAGAGATGGGGCGGTCTGCTGTGACTTCACAGCCCTTACCTTCTTCAGCTCTTCCTGGACACTCTGGCTGTTGTCTTCAGAGGACAGACTTTCCTTCTGGTTCTCAGACTCGGTCTTGGGCTCGGATTCCTGATCCTCCCCAGAAGAAGTCTCCTTCTCACTCATTTTCATTGCTAGCTCGTACAGCCTGGTCCTCCGTTTCTCTTCTGCAGTGTCTGTGCCGGCCCGGGGGTGCCGAGCCTCACTGCTGATGTCAGTCTCTGATAAATCACCTGACACCTGAAGGAAAGCCAGAATCATGAGCTGAAGACCCTTCTGCTACAGCCATGCTGTTCCCGATAATCTCCGGGTAGAAGTCAGTCCTTTACATCAGGCTTCCCTGTGGTTCAGCCGATAAAGACTCTGCCTGCAAGGCGGAGACATAGGAAACGTGGGCTCAGTCCCTGAGTTGGGAAGATCCCCTGGAAAATGAAATGACAACCCGCTCCAGTATTCTTGCCTGGAAAATCACATGAACAGAGGAGCCTTGTGGGCTCCTGTCCATGGGGTTGCAAGAGTCAGACATGATTTAGCGATTAAACCACCAAAGGTCAATGAAAATGAAGGTAAACTAAACCAGGAAAATGAGGCTCTTACTTGATCTGCTTTCCCTATGGATGGGCTCTTACTTTTTATTCTTACTTTCTCAAACATATGCATCTTAATACTTTGTTAAAGCTTTAGGCAGAACCAATGCAAAACTGTAAAGCAATTATCCTTCAATTAAAAAAAAAAAAACTTTAGGCAGGTAAGCATCTTAGTCAGAAAAGTGAATTCAGTGTTTTTCATTTGCAGAATACTTATCCAGTGGCTACTAAGGGCAACACTGTGCTGGTACTGAGGATGCAAGTCTGAGCAGACCTCCACCAGCTCCCAGTGGAGACACTAAAACCCTGCTAAGTGCAGAGAGGCAGGGGTGGGGACAGAGGCTCTGACAGCCCTGCTAAGGGGCACCGGATGGGAGGGCTGGGGTTAGGGAGAGCTGGCTTGTGGAGGTGGTGTTTGAGTTGAGATTCAAAGTGCTGCAGTTACCCAGCTAAAAGGGAGAGAGGAAAGAACTGTATTCCAGGCAGATCACAAAGATTTTGAGATGGTGTGACGTTCTTGTGCATACGTAAGGAATACTATGCCACCTTCCCTTGATAGTCACACAATTATATCTCTGGCTCCTACCATCTCCTAGAGCTTCCTCTGTGAGTAGAGCCCTGACCGGGCCTGGGGAACGCCAGGAAGACCTGGAAATTGTTAAGCCTCACTCTATTCTTCACCTCATGTTGGACAGATGTGTATGGAATTTTAACAAGATAACCCTCAGCGTACCATCAGGGTCCACTGCACACAATATTAGCTTTTGAATTTCCTCTTTGAGTTGTTCTATCTGTTTAAAAGGCTTGGTCTTTCATGACTTTTATTCTTTCTTGAAGAACTCCAAAGAACAAAGAGAAAATGTAATAATTCTGTAAATAAAACTCCTTCCATCTTGCAATTATTATCTGGGTTCATTGGACCCTTTTATAAATCTAAGACACATGAAGAGATTTTTATGATCTCATTTTCCTTATCTTTGGAAATATTTTGCTGTTTTATCATCTTGGGAATTATCTTTCATCATTACTCATCAAATACTTCCAATTATGCTAAAAAAGAGACTAGAATAACAAAAGAGAAAAATGGAATTACTTAGAAGGATGATTCAACATGGAAATAAATCATCACCATTTTAAGTCTGCTTTTAGCTCACTGTATACAGTTGGGAATTCAAAATTTTTCATAATGGCAAAGGAAAATAACTGAGAGAACAACATTTCACAATTATTAGATGACTCAGAGGATGAAGTTGGATAGCAGCTCCACAGACTCTAATGATGATGGACGAAATTGGTTGTCTAAGTAAAATCTCAGACTAAGAGTCTTCAGATGACAGTGTCCTAAGTGAATTTTCTCAAACCAAGAATCAATAAGTAAACAAAGAATCGATGAGTAAACAATGTATCTATCATGATAAGAGAAAAGATGGTATTTTCATTTAGTTCCTCATTCGACAGGAACAGCTTCATCACACAACATTTCGCAACAAGAATCTAGACCATCCTGTTCTGCTAAAAGGGTGTGGCAGATTCTTTATGAAGTTCATGTATCAAATTTGCTTGATTCAGTTTATAATTGGACAAATGCTTAATGGAGCTGTTTATATAAAGGCAATTAAAAGGAGACAGATGATAGAAGTGAAAAAAAAATCACCGGGCTGATAAACAGGGTCCCTTGGATGATGATTTTTTTTTCTGGGCCTGAGTAAGAATCAATGGTGAGGACCTCATGAGAGGTGGCTGATGCCCCCAGCACGCTTGAGAAGGAGGAATCCTATGTTCTTAGGACTTGCGGGGAGCTGCATGGGAAGAACGGTCTCTGAGCAGGTTCTTGAGAGACGAGGAGCATTTTAATATGTTGACATGGGATAGGCATTGTTGATGAGGAAGCAGCAGGATGGTTAAGACCCAGGGTGCATGAAGCTGCTTGGCACAGTTAGAGGAATAAGGCTCAGAGGTGGAGAGCATGGGGAGCTTTGGGGTGGAGAAGAGGCCCAGGTCAGACTGCAGAGGAATAAGCGTCTGCCAGGTGGCGCTAGTGGTAAAGAACTCACCTGCCAATGCAGGAGACGTAAGAGATGAGGGCTTGATCCCTGGGTTGGGAAGATCCCCTGGAAGAGGGCATGGCAACCCACTCCAGTATTCTTGCCTGGAGAATCCCATGGACGGAGGAGCCTGGCGGGCTTCAGTCCATGGGCTCGCAGAGTCAGACACAAGTGAAGCGACCTAGCACCGCACAGCAGGCATCTAAGGAGTGAGCTTTACCTGTCAAGTATCTCCCGGCTCCTGTGTCTCCCCAGGCTGCCGGGTGGCACCGAGGGCCCTCAGAAGCTGGCTCATGGAAGACCTTGGGTGTTCCTGGAAGGTGAGCACGCAGGAGCTCCCTAGAGCAGAAATGAGGTAGCTGCCCAGGAGCTGCACGACAGGGTGGAAGCGGATGAAAGTGAGAGCCGAGGTGGGGCCTGAGGGAGAGATCCAGGGTTCTAACTGAGCACACAAGGGCAGAGCCTTAGACGCTGGCGGGATGCCCAGGCTGGGGGGCCGTGCAGAGGATGACTTGATGAACAGGGGCCCCATCGCTGAGAGACCTGCAGGGACCAGGAACACTGCTCGGCTCTCAGAGGACACCAGAAGGCCCCTCACAACCCAAGATGGTGAAGGTGGAGAAAGTGGAGGGGTTGGATGACTGGTTATTTACTTTAAAAATATAGTTTTAAACAGAAAGTTGATTAAATTGCAAGCGGCTAAGTGTCTGTTGGATTGGCTGGTTTTACATTCCTGGCTCTTCAGAGTGGGGAGACTGATGAGGAAATTTAAGGCAGTTACAGAAGAACAAAAAGTTACCCTTTCTTTGCACATTTATATTTAGTGTGTGGAGTGTATGCTCAGTTGTGTCTGACTCTTTGTGACCTCATGCTCTGTAGCCCACCAGGCTCCTCCGTCCGTGGGATTCTCCAGGCAAGAATACTGGAGTGGGTAGCCATTTTCATCTCCAGGGGATCTTCCCAACCCGGGATAAACCTGAGAATCCTGCACTGACAGGTGGATTCTTTACCACTGAACCACCTAAGAAGCCCCTAATGTGGCTGCTGCTGCTAAGTCGCTTCAGTCGTGTCCAACTCTGTGCAACGCCATAGACGGCAGCCCACTAGGCTCCCCCGTCCCTGGGATTCTCCAGGCAAGAACACTGGAGTGGGTTGCCATTTCCTTCTCCAATGCATGAACGTGAAAAGTAAAAGTGAAGTCACTCAGTTGTGTCCGACTCTTCGCGACCCCATGGACTGCAGCCTACCAGGCTCCTCCATCCATGGGATTTTCCAGGCAAGAGTACTGGAGTGGGGTGCCATTGCCTTCTCTGCCTAATATGGAGATTCTGGCTAAATAAGGATGATGTTATTGTTGTTCAGTTGCTAAGTCATGTCTGACTCTTTTCGACCTCGTGGACTATAGCATGCCAGGTTTGTCTGTCCTCCACTATCTCCCGGAGTTGGCTCAAATTTATGTCCATTGAGTTGGTGATGTTATCTAATCTCCTGCCATCCCCTTCTCCTTTTGCCATCCGTCTTCCCCTGCATCAAGGTCTTTTCCAGTGAGTTGGCTCTTCACGTTAAGTGTCCAAAGTATCAGAGCTTCAGCTTCAGCATCAGTCCTTCCAATAAATATTTGGGGTTGATTTCCTTTAATATTTGATCACTGGTTTGATCTCCTTGCAGTCCAAGGGAGTCTCAAGAGTCTTGTTCAGCACCACAATTCAAAAGCATCAATTCTTCAGTGCTCAGCCCTCTTTATGGTCCAACTCTCACTTTCGTACATGACTACTGGGAAAACCATAGCTTTGACTATATGGAACTTTGTTGGCAAAGTGATGTCTCTGCTTTTTAATATGCTATCTAGGTTTGTCATAACTTTTCTTCCAAGAAGAAAGCGTCTTTTAATTTCGTGGCTGCAGTCACTGTCTCCAGTGATTTTGGAGCCCAAGAACATAAAATCTGTCACTGCTTCCATTTTTTCCCCTTCTATTTGCCATTAAGTGATGGGACTAGATGCCATGATCTTAGTGTTTTGAATGTTGAGTTTCAAGCCATCTTTTCACTCTCCTCTTTCACCATCATCAAGAGGCTCTTTAGTTCGCCTTCACTTTCTGCCATTAGATGGTATCATTTTCATATCTGAGATTATTGATATTTCTCCTGGAAATCTTGATTCCAGCTTATGATTCATCCAGGCTGGCATTTCCCATGATGTTCTCTGCGTACAAGTTAAATAAGCAGAGTGACAAAATACAGCCTTGTTGTACTCCTTTCCCAATTTTGAACAAGTCAGTTGTTCTATGTCTGCTTCTCACTCTTGCTTCTTGACCTGCATACAGGTTTCTTAGGAGACAGGTAAGGTGGTCTGGTACTCTCATCTCTTTAAGAATTCTCCAGTTTGTTGTGAGCCACACAGTCAAGGTGTAGTCAATGAAGCAGGAGAGATGTTTTTCTGGAACTCCCTTGCTTTCTCTATTGCCTGATGAAGGTTTGCAATTTGATCTTTGGTTCCTCTGCCTCTTCCAAACCCAGCTTGTTTGTCTAGAAGTTCTTGGTTCATGTACCAAGCCTAGCTTGAAAGATTTTGAGTATTACCATGCTAGCATGTGACATAAGTGCAATT